CATAAACATCGTCATGAATTCACTCTGACTTTTGGAGCTTTGTGTTTACGTCTTTTTTGCGCTGATTCTGAAGCTGCAGGTTTGATCTCTCTCCAAACAATATTGACTGAACCAGCAGCAACAGAAGATCCAAACTACGCTTCACATAAACATCGTCATGAACTCACTTTTGCTGTTTTGCTGCCACCACGATAAAAATCACACTTCATGCACAGCTCTCTCTCTCTCTCTCTCTCTAAATCGATAATAAAAACACATCCCTGCTCATTACCCAGCAGTCTACGGTGTCAGCAGCTGCTTTTTGTTGTTGTTGTTTTTCTTACTTCTGACAGAAAGCCTCATTTCTGCTGTTCAATACTGAACAAATTAAAACTTTTAAAATTATGCAAAACTGCAAAATGCTTCGTGGTGTCTCTAATCAAACCTCTGTAACTTTGCTTCACTTCAGCAGCATCAGGTAATGTTCATGTGTTGATTCATGCTACTGCACAATATTTTTAAGGTCATCTGCTATAAAAACCCAGACCAGGAAAATCTCCTTCATGTTTTTCTGTGTTTCAGCTACTTTGACACAAAGGAATCTGCTGTGATGCTCACACCTCTGATAAAGTCTCACAAGTGTCAGGTTTCTTTTTATAGATATAAAAATATAGATATGTATTGATAAGTGATCAGAATTATAATATTTCTGACTGTCTGAGGCAAAATTTTTGGACTGAATCGATTCTAGAAGTCAGTGACAACACACAGCCCTACTGTCAGCCGGCTGGATGCTGTGTGCCGCACTCACCATGGATCACAGTGAAACTACACAAAAGCGCACATATCACACACAGAAACAAACACTTACCAGCAGTTTGTTGTACTTTTCCTGAAGGCTGCTGACGTATTCCTGCAGAACAGAGCAAACACACAGAGGCTCAGCGAGGAACCGACACACGACAGCAAACTGTGCAAACCTGTGATTCTGACATCACGTCACCTTGTCTCCGCTGGCAGAGATGTGAGGAGCCAGAGCCTCCACCTCACTGTGGAAGATGTTGTGCTCCTCCACCTCGTTCTCCACAGAGGGCAGGTCCTGGCCAAAGCCCTTGTTTTGCAGGTTGTCCTGGGCAGAGAGACACGGTGGATGAATGAAACTTTTCTGAAATGAAACGTCTAAAAAGCGTCTAACACCCTCTGCAGACGTGTGATGTGAAATGTCTGTCATGCAGGAATACTTTTATTGTGTTCACCTGTGCACTGTGCAAACAAACACCTGATTGCATTGTTTTAGCAGGACTAACCCACAGTGACCTGCAGCCCTTCATGCTGGCTCGCCACCTGCTGCTGTAAGCACCGTGCACACAGCTCAGCTCGTGTTGCCTCAGTAACTGAACGTTTCTCAGTTGTTGCAGTGACATAAAGGCTTCATAGACCTAACGAGGTGTGTGTGTAACACTCTGTGCAACACTGTGCTGGACCTACAGCGAGCGCTGCACATGTTTTCTGGGCTTTTGTTTACCAGCTTTTCATCCATCATGTTGCCCCAGTTGATGCTGGGCTTGCCCTCGGTGCGGACCAGGTGGTAGATGTGGCCGTGCTCCTCTTTCAGCTTCATCACTCTGTCACGCAGTTGCTTCATGCTGAATACACAGAAACAAGAACAGGTAACCGAGGCAGCAGGTCACAGTAACCAGGTCTTCCTCAGGCCTTCGTGGATATTGTTGACTCAACATGAAGCTTTTGCTGTGTGCATCCTGCACTCGCAGGCACAGCTAAGGTGGTTTGCGTAGCATGAAACAGCGTTCACTCACTCCTGTGCTATCATCTCAGCCTGCGGATGCTGAAGGCGTCTGGCGTTGACGACGTCTTCATCCAGGCTGCTCAGCAGCTCCAGAGAACTGAGGAGTCTCTTGTTGGTGTCTTCCTGATACAGGGGCTGCTTCCCCTCGTTGATCTTGCTCACATCCTGTGAGGAAAGAGTCGTGTGGAGTTAGCTGAATAGACAGAAGCTGAAAGTGCATCATGACAGCGCTGTGGCTCTGAGCTGTAACGTGTGACTGTGGTGGGTTTATATGACGGCTAACGTGCTCCATGCTGAAATCAACTGTGGGCTATTTCTCAAAGAGGCTGATACACATTATAGCCGACAGCACACATGAGCGTTACTGCAGCACCGTACCTTGTTGAGGTTCTGCTCCACATCGTAGATATTCTTTTCCACTTTGTCAGCCGTCTTCTGCAGCTTCTCGATCAGTGTGGCGAGTTCTGTGGTGGGAGCACTGAGAGACAGAGACAGAATGACGTGAGGCTTTTCTGGATCCCTGTGAAGCAACTCTAACACTAGGTGGAGCAGATATCATAATCACACAAGCTGAAAACAGTGGCTTCGTAACAAGCTCAACGCCTTCGATTATGAGCCGCAGAACAGCAGCTCGACGGCTCCAGAAACACAAAACACCAAGAACTGATCAGTCAGTGTTCAGCACTGCAAGCCCATCACTGCAGTACTACTGCAGGGTTAGTGCTGTAACGAGGCATCAGAGAAGTGCAAAACTAAACCAGCACATCTGACAAACTGGGAACCGTCACGAGTAGCAAAGAGTGCCGAGGCATGTAAAGTTCAAAGGTAGTCAGTCGAGCTCTGAATGGGGCTACAAATGCAGGACAAATGTCTTGGACTTCTTTGCTGTGTTCGTTTCAACAGTGACACGTTTGTGTTACTCGTGCAGGTAGCAGGTGATCCAGGACCCAGCCGACCTTCTCAAGAGATTTAATTGTGGATTTCAGTGGAACGCCTGAGCTGGAAGCAGCGAGGACTCTGTACATACCTGTGCTGTTCATCACACACAGTGATAATGAGTCATCATCTGACTGCATGTTTCCATCACACCTGGTGTCAGACAGGAATCAATGACCAGTGACAAGTTGGGTGACAATGAGCACGACTCACTACAGTACGCCACAAACATTAACCACCACTGAGCAACACAGGAAATCAACCCTGTGGCATCTCCCTGCACAACTCCTCCATCACTGTAGCACACGACAGTTACACCTGTTTGTGCATCGTCTACGGTGAAAACACCAAAATAAGAAAGTTTTACAGTTCAGAGAAAAATGTCAGTCGTATAAAGTTAATCTCTTCAATACTCTGGATGTTTATCATTGAGCCGTTTGTTCACATATTAGAGCCAATTCTTGTAACTTTGTAATAAATTGTATCATTTAATTTAGTCCAGTCTGTTACTATTGTTGTCTTGGAGCAACTAATCACATCATTTCCTGAAGGATTAATAAAGTGTGTTGATTGAGAACATCAGAGCTCATGAGTCTGACTGTGAAGCTCCAACCTCACTGGAGAAGATGCCAGTAGGAAACTCCCAGCTGACATACTCCCTAAAATGGGGGAAACTAGCCCAGCGAGTTTTACACACACACACACACACACACACACACACACACACACACCATTTGTTACATAAGCACGATGCAGTACTTTCACACCTGAGCTGATTTTCTCTTTAACACAAACAAGTCTGAACTGGTGCACAGTCGAGCTGTTCTGGCTCATCCAAAAAACACAAACACCCAGCAGACTGAGGGGGGCGAGGGGGGGGGATTTCTGACTGTAGTGACGAACATGAAGAAAACGTCTCATCTACAACTTTACACACTCGTCTTCTAAACATCACAACAGCAAACACATGAGAACAGAGGAACATGAAGTGTGCTGTCTGCACCACTTGTTGCATAAAGCTTGTGTAGAAGTGGAGAGTTGTTCTCATCGTGAATCCAGAACAGATGTGCGCTCGCCCTGCTGTGGTCAGATTACCCAACAAGAAGCAGCTCTGTGCTGCTCCAACACTTTAACCTGCTCTGCTTTGTTTAGTGTTTCTGGATCGTGGGGGGGTCGCTGGCTTTAACGCCGTGCTCTCACTGCGGCTGTGTTCGTTCTGAAAAGGATCTGGCGCTCAACAAACTCACGTGTTTCCACAGGGAGCTGGTTACATCAGAACCAGAGCGCTCCAGCATTAGGTCACACAGGGTGTGGAAGCCTGCTGCTGTCACTACAGCATCGAGCCCTTTGCTCTGTGTGGAGACTGAGATGTGCCGAGCATGTTGTTGACCAACTGGACGGCTGGTGGTCTGAGCCCCAGCTCCTCCACCTGTTCCAGCTCCGCCTTTACAGTCTCTGTTTGCTGGGCTTTGGCTTAAAACCTGCACACACCTACACCTGAACAAGAAGAGCAGCATGAAGAAGGGTGGAGCTGCATTACTCAGATTCCATCTGTTGGTGGTTATCACAGGGCACGAGTGACTGCAATGAACGATGTGCACTATGACGGACGAACCAGTGGAAAGCCAATAAATCCCTGTGCTGGTGTAAACACATGAACATGACCCACAACACCAAAACAAAACCTCCTGTGCTGCTGGCGCAGGTGTGGCAGCGGGACAAACATCTGTCACTGATACCTGCAGCTTGACTGTCTGTCTCATGTAGCCCGGACAGCGGCAGTAAAACAGCTGAAGGGACTGGTCCTGGTGCGGTGACATTATGGGCGAGGCTGCGAGGAATTCCTCTCACATTGTGTTTCTAAGGAGGGCAGCAGAAAACTTATCGAACCAGTTACCGCAAACTATCCACGGCTTATCGGCCACACCCACTCTCCAGTTAATGCGCAAACTATGCAGCCTAACTCCGAGTTTCGGCCCTGCCCGTCTGACTGAGCTCACACAGACACCACCTCAGAACGACCCATCAGGGCACAACGATCCGAGCTGTGTTAAAGCTCCGCGGTCTTTCCATCCGCTGCTTGTTTAGCGCATGGCGCTGCGCTGCGCCAAGACCGCTCTGTGTGCACAAACAAGTAACACAATACGCGCATATAAACTCCGAGCCGGGCTCCCCCCGGTGTGATCATTTAACCATCCTTTTGTCTGAGCTGTGGCGTGAGTCCGCTGATCGTGCAGAAGTGAAATCACTACAAGGACAGATGAGGCTCGCGCGCCGCTCTGAAGGGCTCGAGCGCAGAGGAACGAGCTCCTACTTACGCCTGTTTCGGCTGCGTGATCGCGGTGGACTTGCTCTTCTTCTTCAGCATGATGAAGGTCACCTGTCAGCGGCTTCCCACAGAAACAGACCCAGCAGTACAGGTGAGTCTCGGCTGCGCGCGCTCGCTGCGTCGCTGTGTGTCAAAGTCAGATATGTCCACGCGCGCTTCTCACTGTCAGAGCGTGCCGTCCCAGCTCAGAGTAGCAGAGCCAATGAAGTCAGCGCGCGCAGCCTGACCTTCTACCTGTCAGCAGCCAGAGGTGGGAGGGTCCAAAGAGCGAGGCCCCGCCTTCATAGCCTCCCCCTCTCACACCCACGCAAACACGTTGCGTGTTCCACTGAAAAAGTGAATGAATTCTCCAGTAAAACGAGGCGCGTCCGTTTCAAAGTTTCAGTTGGGAGTCATCAGCAGTTTGTGTGCTGCACCTGTAACAGCAGCTGCCGCAGGTGTGCAGCAGACCAGCTGCTGTAGTGCCAGCTGCCCCACGCCCGTGTAAAAGCGGGCTGTCCTGTCAGAATCACGTTTCTCATTTCTTTCCTTCATATAAACATGAGCAGCTCACCTGCAGGCCCGGCACACCCACAAGTTATTTAAATCTGAGCTTTGACTCATAGCAGCCACGCTTGTGTGTCAGGAGTGAGCTCTGTTAGCAGCACAATGTTCCCTTTTATAAAAACTATTTGGAAATACTTTGAGGAACATAAAAGTTGGAGGTGTTTACTTCATATGCTGCAGATCTCTGCAGGTGTGATCATTACAGCTGCTACAGGTTGTTTCAGTGACCTCAGTTTTGGGGTCAGAGCCAGTTTCAGACAGCTGGATCTGTCTGTTCACTGTTCCTGCAGAGTGTGTCTGAACACACAACCTGTCCTGTGTGCATGACTGGCTCTGGGTGTGGCAGCTCTGGCTGAACCAGTCAGACTTGACACTGTGCTGCTCTGTGCTGTGTTGTGTTTGTGCGACAGTGACAGTGTGACAGCAGGAATGCAGATACAGAGTAAATCATTTCAACATCCACACTTTAGTTTTCGACTCTTTGATTCAGCTCGTTTTATTTGTTTGTTTTCTGTCTGACATCCAGTTTTGTAGAAAGAAAGTGAATACAACCTCCAGTGAGTGTTGGAGGTTTGTAGGTGTTTATTCATGGACGCTGTCTGCAGTCAGCTGACGTCTGGACTTTTGTTTCAGTCGGTTTGCTGTTGAGCTCGGGATCGTCGTCCTGTTGGTGACCTAGGTTGGTCCAGGCTTTGGCTGTGGGACAGAATACTGTTACACCGAGGAGTTCATGGTCCACTCCGTTACTGCTTTCCTGTGGCTGCACCTCCTCCATCATGGTGACAGGTGGTGTTAGGTAATAATAATAATACATTTTATTTGAGGGCGCCTTACAAAGAGAAAAAGACATCAATAAATCAGTAGATTAAAATAGATTCTCATAAATTAAAATACAAAAAACAAATAAACAGATACGATCTGTATTAAAGCGAGGAAGCCCGTTTAAACAAGTAGGTTTTGAGCTGTGACTTAAATAAAGGAATCTATATTTCCTAAGACTGAAGGAAGTGAGGAGCAGAGCGAGTGAGAGCTCGGTGCCCCACAGTGACGAGACAAAGGAACAAGATGATGAAAGGTCTGAGAGAGCAGGAAGCAGCTGAGATATGAAGCAGATCACAGAGATAAAGAGGGCCGAGGTTATGGATGCAAACGTGAGAACTAAGATTGTAAAGTTGATCCTGGTTTCTGCAACCAGTGAAGCAGTCTGAGTTTCTCTCTGAGCGTTAGAGATGAACAATTCCACTTTGGTGTCCAGAGCTCATTGTGGCCAAAGCTTTGTGGTTTGTGCAGCAAAGGTAATCCTGCTGCCATTTTTCAGAGGGAAGAGGCTTTTTCCTGGAAGCCTTCCAAACAGCCGTACTTGTCATGCTGTCATGAACTTTAACCTTTAGGCATTAAGACTGTGAAATTTTGGCCTTTTCTCGGAGCATTGTGCAGCCTTCGTTTTTTCACGCACTCGTTTTGCCTTAAAGTGATTAAATAAGTAAAAATAAGGTGCTGTTGTTTATTTGATGTTGCGTCACTGTAAAGCCCACTGACTTTCTGTACTTTCTTTTTACATGACTGTACGTTTGGCTCATTCTTTGGAAAACTGAACAAACCCAACGGGACAGATGCTCGATGTTCCCAGACTGTTGCCACTGTGTGACGATGCTTTTGTACCCTAACTGAGCGCTCACAGGACCAATCACACACATACACACAAGTGCTTTTTCTATGCTTAAGCAGCTTATCTGTCAGTAGACAACCCACTGAGGCACAACCACCCAGATGCACTCTGTGGCTGAAGCTAATATTAGATTGCACTACAGTAAAGTTGTGGGAGTTCAGTGAAACCTGAAAAAAGCTGAAGCAGCAGTTTTGACCCTTAATAACAATAATGCTCCTTAATAATGGAGTACAACGTGGGAGGTGTGCTCAGGTGTACGAGCAGGTCACCTACTAATTGGAAAGTTGGTGTGTCGATCCCTGTCTGCTCCAGTCTGCATGCAAATATCCGTGGGCGAGGTGCTAACCCCACGCTTCTCCCTGATGCTTCCATTGTGCTGTGAGTGTGAGACAGGACGCACTATAGATGACAGCTCTTGTGTGATTGAGGCGTGTTGTGTGAAGTGCTTTGAGTGCTCAGAGTAGAAAAGTGATCAGTAAGAACAATGTTGTCTCAGTCTTTAGCATAGTTCTGCTTTGCATTCAAAAGAACCAGTAAAGTAGCTGTACTGGTTTGTGCAGGATTATTGAAACAAAGTATCCCTTCATAGTTTGAGGTTTGTGTTCTCATCTGTTGTAGTGTAAGTTTGTAACTGTTGTGTGGTAACAGCAACATTAGCACGGCCTTAGCCTTTACATTGATTCAGGTTTCACTGGTCAGGAACCAAAGGTGTCCTCAGATGGAAAGTTTTATTTCAGTTTGCACCCAGAGAGCAAAAGACGTTTGCTTTGCAAAAGACATGCCTAAGCAGGCATGTCTGAACAACATCAGTGTGTGTGTGTGTGTGTGTGTGTCATTTTCCTCAACACTTCTTCCCTTTCATGAAAACAGCCAAATTTTTCTTGATGTGTCAAATGACCCACAGGTGTCACGCTGACATGTTGGGAAATCCATTTGACAGTAAACACGACCCGACACACCTCCTCTCTCTCCAGCATCATTCCTGGGGTGGCTGTAGCTCAGGTGGTAGAGCAGGTCATCCACTGATCGGAAGGTTGGTGGTTCGATTCCTGGCTTCCCCTAGTCTACATGCCAAATGGGCAACATACTAACCCCAAATTGCTCTCCGATGCATCCGTCGGAGTATGAATGTGTGTGAATGTTAGCTATGAAGCACTTAGAAAGATGTGCTTGTGCGAATGGGTGTGATTGGGTGAATGCACAAGTTGTGTAAAGTGCTTTGAGTGCTCAGAAGAGTAGAAAAGCGCTTTATAAAAACCAGTCCATTTACCATTCCCACAATCCTTAAAACCAAAGAATCATAATGGACCCCACCCACATAATCAGGCCCCACACACTCACAAGCAGGGCCGTTTAGATTCTTAACCAACATGATGGCCCCACAGCCACTGCTGCCCACTGCTGCCCACCCATGAGTCTGAGCCGTGGCCTCTTATCATTCAGGCCACTCACACTCACACTCGCCTCAGACCAAGTCCTTTCAGCCTGTTCTTCTATTGTGGGTCTTTGTCTTGTTTTGTACATATTCCCGTGTTGTGTATATATTCCTCCTGCCTGTTGTTTATTCCTGCTGTCTTACTATTTATAGCTTATTCCTGTACAGCTGGTGTGGAGCGCCCACAATGTCCTTCTACAGGTATAGTGACAATAAAGGGTTATTCTATTTATTCTATTCTATTCTATTCTATTCTATTCTATTCTATTCTATTCTATTCTATTTTACATAAACTCGGAGTTCCAGAATACTTCCAGTAAGATGAAATCATTTGTTTACAATCATATTTTCTTAACTCTTGAGGTTTTACAGCCTTTTTTCCTCTTTCCACCTCCACTCATGTTACAGATGAAATGAATCATGAATTACTTTTCAGTTTCCACCCAGTATTTTCACACAACACACAGAGACCCGTCACCCTCACTCCATAAAGGACAAGCATGAGCATCAGGTGCAAAGGCAGAGCCTTCATGCTTCGGGGCAGGACTGCTACATGTTTTGTAATATCATTTGTTAGATTATCATTTGAACCTTTCCTAGATTATTTATTTATTGTTCCATTGTCTTTCTTTTCAGTCGCTCAGTGCCAGGTGGATCACATATGTATGACCTCATTCATGGCTATGGCTGTAATTTCATAATGATGTCACTGAGGTGTGAACATTTTTAGTCCAGCAGGTATTGCCCCACCCCTGGGTGGAGCCTGGACCTCCCACATCTCAGTCAGACCACCTGCGCCTCACCATCCTCACCATCCTCACCATCCTCACCATCCTCACCATCCTCAGCATCCTCACCATCCTCACCATCCTCACCATCCTCACCATCCTCACCATCCTCACCATCCTCAGCAGCAGCCGGTACGTAAGGACAGCTCCAGGACTGTCTGCTCTACGTTACTCCTGTGAGCCCATTTCCTGTCTGGGACCTCACCGACTCACTGGCTCCCCACCCTCTGACAACTTCCTCCACACCCGACTAACTAACTACTAACTAACCCGTCTGACACAAAGATGCTCCACCCCGTCACCACAGCATTCCTCTGCTGACAGAGTTGGTGACAGAGACGCTTAAACATGAACAACATGTGAATCTCTTCCTGCAACTACACCTGTAGTGCAGAATGCAGCCTGGACGCATGTTTTATTGTAAACCAAGAAAAAGGGTGAACGACCACACTTGGCATTATTTCAGATGCTCCAGTAAGAGTTTAATGAATAAAGCTTATCTTTGAACACTTTCAGCAGCACACCACACTTGCATAGCTTCTCTCAGAGTCTTCAGATAAAGACCAGCAGTCTTCAGGTTTCAGTCGTGGAGGGCTCCCAGTGTGTTAAAGGAATATTGTTTTTATATAATGTGATCAGCTTCATGAAATGTATTCTTTTATTGATCACTAAGCAAATGTCTACGTGACTTTTGACATGTACTTTTGTGTGATAAACAACTAATAGAAGATGGCGAGTCAGGTCAGC